CCGCCAGCGGCAAAAGCACTGGAGGCGATTTCGGTCTGAAATACACAAAGTCACCAGCAACACAAATGAAAATAAACGCTACAAATCCACGCGCTGCGGCGCTAAAAAATCACCGCGCACGACACGAAAGAAAAGTCACGTGGTTGTCATAGCGCACGCCACGTTGACGAGCGAGCGCTTCAGAAGGTGAACACGAGGGTAGAGAGCGGGCCCTTCTTGCAAAGCACCAGCTTGAGAGAGAGTAATTGCCTGCCCATCACAATTCGACAGCTCAGACGGGAGAATAAACGTTCGCCTTGCTTCGCGCAGTAAGTCCAACGGCGAACTCTCCACTCGGTTATTCAAATGCGACACCGGGCGCACTCCTGTCCCCTCCCCGCACGAGCAGGTCAGCCACTCGACGAGTGGACTTCAAATCTCGTTAGTAAACTATCTAAACACTATTTATTTATTTTGCCAGGTAGGTCCCACCGAGCTCTGTTTTTTTTGTTGCAATAAGCGACCTGGCCACAAATGATAGCTCAACGAAGCGGCGGCGGCGGCGGCTCAACGCGTGGACATTTCTAGCGGCAGCTCCAACACTTTGAACGCGTGACGTTGATTCTACACGTGGAGGAGGACGTGAGGGGCGGCGGGGGGTGAATCGGAGGACCCGGAGAAAAATCCACGCGACCACGTGGAAGAAAAATGCGCAGACTCCAAATACGCAGCAGCAGCAGCAGGCATCGTCCGGGGTCGGGATCGAACCCACGCTACCTCCTGCATACCGGTGCGAGGCTAGTTGATATCTACGCCCCGTGAGATTCGGACACATGGCCAATCGCCACGTGTTGGTCTCTGGTAAGGGAACGAGGCGACCTCGGCCCGCGACTCCTCCAACCCCAGGCCGCCCTCGCGCTCGGCCGTGGCCTCTCGTGGTGAGCGGTACAAAATCGTTCTTCGCTCGTTACATTTGCAATCCACTGGCCGTCACCGTCGACTAAACTAACAAAAGCTCACTTCATATTCTTGGTTCTTTCGGTAAAGTCACGTTGAAGGGAAACAATAAAATATATATAAAACAATAAAATTCTCACGACGTTTCGACTGTAACAAACGGTCATCAGGTGTGAAAACCTGTTTCTGTTACAGTCGAAACGTCGTGAGAATTGTATTGTTTTATGTATATTTTATTATTTATTGTTTCCCTTCAACGTGACTTTACCGAAAGAACCAAGAATATGAATCGCTGCAGACACGAAAGCTTTAAATCAAAATTTAAAAGCTCACATCGTTGACGAATGTTCGCCACTGTTTTCAGTTCACGAAATGAACACCGCCCTCCTCCTTCCCACCCTCCGCCCCCCCACCACTGGGGACGGGGCGGCCGCAGCGGTACGGCACGACACGCCGTGCCGTACGATGCTCCCGTCAAAATAAAGTGCCTCTGTGTTCCATTGCATCGCCTCGTCCGAGTCTCCGGCTCTCTCATCACGCCCCCCCCCTCCCCGACTCTTCCTCCTCCTCGTCAACTCTTCTCTCGGCCACGGCTCGCGGCCGTTTCCCCAGGGCGCAGGGTACAGGGCACGCTGCGTCGTATGCAATGCCGTCAGCTGGGTTCACGACAACACTTCTCAGACTCCCAGTGAACCAAGGGAGTCGTGATATGTATGATGCATTGGTAGCAATTCCCTAAGTTGCGATATGAGGCATCGGTAGCAGTGCTTTAAGTTCGATTCGCGATCATTTATCGTGACACCCGAGTGAATCCAGAGAGTTCTGATATGAGGCATCGGTAGCAGTGCCTTAAGTTCGATTCACGATCATTTCTCGTGACACCCGAGTGAATCCAGAGAGTTCTGATATGAGGCATCAGTAGCAGTGCCTTAAGTTCGATTCACGATCATTTATCGTGACTCAAAAGTGAATGACGAGTTACAATTTTGGGCGTTCTTAAAGTTGCTGTCACCAACAAGTCGATCGCAACCAATGATAATATCAATCAACATTACTACCGTCGCCGACATCAACACATACTGCAGAGGTGAGCTTAAAACCACAAAGTAAGGATTTCGTGGTCCGTGGGCTTGTTTAAGTCCTCCTGGCAGCCCATTGGCTGCTATGGTGAGAGTGAGGATGCATCGGTTAGCAACGGCAGGGGCGAGGGTTCACATTTCACTCGGGCAGCCCGATATTGTCCACGCGGCTTACGATCCGTTTTTACTTAACATTTAATATCGCACTTACGACCGTAGCTACGACCGCTCGCGCAACACGACAGCTCACGCGGGTGCCGTTGCTAGCCGATGCATCCCCATCTGCTGGACATCTGTGGGGGGGGGGGGAGCTTTATAGCTCATCGGATTCCTCCAGTAATAAAAAAAACACAATTCCGATTCTGTAACCTGGTGGACTTTGGACTCATCTTAAAAGTGCATCTTGTGTACTCGGCCTTTCTCCGTAACTCACAGCCTGCAACAGCACGGTTGGCGATGTCACCTGGAGGTAGTCATTGCAGCCACGACAGACGCGTCCTCACAAATACCGCCAAGCGCACAAACCAATGGACGACAACATCCCCGTGTAGCCCGCACAGCCTCCGTTGGGACAAGTCCAGCCGCCTGCGTCTCCCCCCCTGCCCCCCCCCCCAGTGGTGATCCCGACACAGACGATGGAACGACGCTGATCGTTGGCCTTTTTGGTAAGCAGGCAATCGGGGTTCGTCGGAGCTGTTGAAGTCCTGGAAGCTCGCCTCTTTAAGTCGGCCTTCATCCCCCGCCGAGTTCTGGTCGTTTAGGGGGCCGTCCATAAATGACGACACACGATTTTGGACGATTTTTGACCCCCTCGTCACACGGCGTCACAAAAAGTCAAACCCCCCCCCACCTCAAATATGACGTCACAAAGCTCTGCCCCCCGCCCCCAAAAAATATATATAAAACATGCTTCAAATCGCTTTAAACTATTGTCATTGTAGTGCGTATTTAATGTGGCGCTGCACTCTGATGTTGTAGGAGAAAACATTTATAATAAAAAAGTCTATTTAATTAAGTAGAACGTGTTGTCTATATTTATTTAAAGTTGCGCATTTTGATGTGACGTCACATTTCTCAACCCCCCCCTCCCCTCGTCACACATCGTCACAAATGTCTTGACTCCCCCCCCCAGGTGCGTGACGTCATTTATGGACGGCCCCTTACCCTGCAGGTTCTGTTTATTTCGTGGCTTCCACAGACATTGGCATTGGGATCTACGGATGAAACGCTGAAACGCGCGGCTTACAAATGTAAATTATTATTGTTTAGTCGACCTGGTGGAGGCCCAGGACTGGTTCGGATATTCGTCACCGATGTTGGCCGTGAGCAGGAATCGAACTCGGATCGCCGGGTTCGGAGCGCAGTGCGTTAACCACGACACGAGCATTCCCCATCACAAACGTGTACACACAAAACAAAGACAAAGATTCCCCGTGTAGCCTTAACAGACTGTTGGGGCAAGTGCTGTTAGCGAGCACCTATGAAGGCCGGCACGGCACACGAGGGAGGTGGGTGGCCAGCACCACGCCCGACCGCCTTTGTCTCCCCAGTGGCAATGTTTACACACCGCACCAGGACCGGCTCAAATAATCGTCACCGGTGTTGGCCGTGAGCGGGAATCGAACTCGGGTCGCCAGGTTCGTAGCGCAGCACGCCAACCGCTACACGACCGCTCCCCACACACACACACTCACACACAGACACACACACACGTATGTACAAAACACTTTACGTACAATACTTTGATATGGACACCGGACGCCCCACACCACAGCCACTCCTTGTAGAACCGACTGCACTTGAACTCGGTCATCGATGGCTCGCCGCATCCAGTTGGCCTCTCACTACCGCTGTGGCTTTCGCTACGAGACGAGTGGGGGGGGGGAGATATTTGAGTATGGAGGGGAGCGGGGGCACGTAACCCATCACACAACCACCTCCATCAGCAGACAACCTCGCCCAGCTGTTCACGCACCGGCTCGTCTTCACGCACGACCCCCGCTCTTAACCCTCGCCCTGAACTGAACTCAAACCCGAAACCCTCTACACACGAACCGCCCCGTCCATCACTGACGACGGCGTGCAGAGTGCGGGCAGACGGGGGCAACGGTGGCGGTGGCTGCGACGCCGCATGCCTCGCCGCGACCTTTCCGGCGCTTTGGTCGCCGGCTGCCACCGTCGCGACGGGGGGAAAAGACCGTTTTGATTTTTGACACGCGCAGACACGTGCCTCAAAAAAAGAAAAAAAAACACTGTTGGGGCAAGTGCTGTTTGCGAGCACCTATGAAGGCCGAAACGGCACACGAGAGGGTGGGTGGGTGGGTGGGCAGCACCACTCCCAGCCGCCTTTGTCTCCCCGGTGGCGACGTTTACACACCGCGCCAGGTACCGATTTTGAGGCCCAGTCGACCTAGGATGAGGTACAGAACCTGGTTTCAGATACTCGGTCACTGGTGTTTGTGGCCCTGACCTGGAATTGAACTCGGGTGGCCGGGTTCGTAGCGTGGCGCAGCGCGCGAACCGCTGCTCGCACGCACGCACACGCGGGAACAAGCCCAGAATTCCTGCATCGTACGTCAGTCCACACGCGAGCAAGGCGGAACTTCCGCACGACGAATCTCTAAGCGGCAACAAAAAAATAAAAAAAAATAAACCTGAACTTGTAAAAGTTCAACAGCTCGTGGCCACGGCTTTATTTACAAGCCACGGCTCCTCCTCTGCTTGGCTCGTTATTTTTATTTAAATTAATTGTTTTATTTGGCGTCGATCGTTCCTAGCCACGCCCCCCCCCTCCGTTCGCAGCAAAGTATTCAAATAGACAAATATAAACAGAATACATCCTTGAGTGTAAGCGAGCGTGGCTCTAGGAAGACCGCACATTTGGCTCCGAATGCTCTATCAACATTCATCGAGGCCACAGGCATTTTGGGTGGTGTGGTGGGAGGGGGGTAGTGGAGGGGGGAGAGTGGGGGGTAGTGCGGGGGGAGAGTGGGGAGAGAGTGGTGGGGGGAGAGTGGTGGGGGGAGTGGGCGGGGCTGTCTCTCCAGCAGCAGCCGCGGTTCTACCAACCGCACGAGTCGATGGCAGCTTTTCCAACCGTCCCCCTCCAAGTGACGGTCACCGCAGCAGCGCTTGTGCCAGGCTAGGTGCACTGTTGAGCGCCACGTAAAAAAAAAAAGACGCCGGCGGCTTCCGTTGGCGGGCCGTGACGGGAAAGCGCGCCGGGCGTGTGTGTGGGTTGACTCGACGGCGGAGACCGCTCCACCAGCACACGCACTCACTGTGCCAGAGGATGGCACATATTGGTTTTCGAACGCACGCGCGCACGCACGCGCACACACGCACGCTCTCTTCTCGATATGCCCCCCTGCCCAGAGTTTCGCCGCTGCTGCCCCCGCCCCGCCGAGACGCCGCGGCCTCTTCGACGGACGCCGAGCGCCGGCGTCGTCGGCACCGGCGGCAGGGACGTGGTGACGACGGTGGTGCCGGCGGCGCTACTGGGTGATGCAGTTGTCCCCCACGTCCTGGGCGCAGCGGTCGGCGACCACCGCCCTCAGCGCCTCCACGTCGGCACGCAGCCGGCACGCCCGGCTCCTCGTCGCGGCCCACGCGCCCGCACCGGTCGACGAGGCCTCCTCCGCGGCCGTCACCGCCGGCCCCGCTACCGCCCCCACACGCGACACACAAAGAAAAAAGAGACAAAGATCCCCCGTGTAGCCTTGACGGACTGTAGGGGCAAGTGCTGTTAGCGAGCACCTATGAAGGCCGGCACGGCACGCGAGGGGGTGGCGATGTTTACTACACACCGCACCAGGTACTCATTTGAGGCTGAGTCGACCTAGGGGAGGCCCAGGACCGGTTCAGATAATCGTCACCGGTGTTGACCGTGAGCGGGAATCGAACCCGGGTACCTGGGTCCGTGGCGCAGCGCGCCGCTAACCGCTCTACCACCGCACGCACGCCGCCATCGTCGTCAGCCGTGGTCAATCCGCTGCTGGCCTGGACCTTCATCGGCGCCGGTCGCCCACGACGCCACCTCCATAGCCACTCATGGCGCCGCGGCCGCCACCACAGAGACAAAGATCTTCTCCTGCTCTCAGCCGTACCAGCAACCTGTCCCCACTCTCTCCCTGCTCCCCACGCTCCGCACCTCCGATCAGCACTCTCTCCCTGCCCCCCACGCTCCGCACCTCCGATCAGCACTCTCTCCCTGCCCCCCACGCTCCGCACCTCCGATCAGCACTCTCTCCCTGCCCCCCACGCTCCGCACCTCCGATCAGCACTCTCTAACCTGCCCCCCACGCTCCGCACCTCCGATCAGCACTCTCTAACCTGCCCCCCACGCTCCGCACCTCCGATCAGCACTCTCTCCCTGCCCCCCACTCTCCGCACCTCCGATCAGCACTCTCTCCCTGCCCCCCACGCTCCGCACCTCCGATCAGCACTCTCTCCCTGCCCCCCACGCTCCGCACCTCCGATCAGCACTCTCTCCCTGCCCCCCACGCGCCGCACCTCCGATCAGCACTCTCTCCCTGCCCCCCACGCTCCGCACCTCCGATCAGCACTCTGTCCCTGCCCCCCACGCTCCGCACCTCCGATCAGCACTCTCTCCCTGCCCCCCACGCTCCGCACCTCCGATCAGCACTCTCTCCCTGCCCCCCACTCTCCGCACCTCCGATCAGCACTCTCTCCCTGCCCCCCACGCTCCGCACCTCCGATCAGCACTCTCTCCCTGCCCCCCACGCTCCGCACCTCCGATCAGCACTCTCTCCCTGCCCCCCACGCTCCGCACCTCCGATCAGCACTCTCTAACCTGCCCCCCACGCTCCGCACCTCCGATCAGCACTCTCTCCCTGCCCCCCACTCTCCGCACCTCCGCTCAGCACTCTCTCCCTGCGCGCCCTCACACGCACTCACAGTGCAGGCCCAGCAGCTGGGACAGGTCGGGCTGGCGCCCCTGCGCGCGAGCGGTCATCACGTCGCACAGCACGCGCATCTCCCGCTGCGCAGCGCACAGCTCCGCCACCACCTCGGCCACAACCTCCCCCGGGCCCTCGTCCCCCGGGCCCGCGGCCCCCTCCAGGCGCTCCTGCAGCTCGAGGCAGCGGGAGAACAGCCCTTCCTTCTCGGCCGTCAGCTGCTGAGTCGAGGTCACGTGGGGTGGCGGGGAGGGGAGGGGGAGGGCGGTACACGGGGAGGTGAGGGCACCAGGTTACGGAGGTACGCGGACTCGAAGGGGGGGGTGGGGGGGGGGGCATGCCACGGAGACACACACGGGGACAACACGGGGGGGTCACGGGGACACACACGGGGAGGACACGGGGAGGACACACACGGGGACACACACGGGGAGGACACACACGGGGAGGACACGGGGACACACACGGGGAGGACACACACGGGGACACACACGCGGAGGACACGGGGAGGACACGGGGAGGACACACACGGGGACACACACGGGGAGGACACACACGGGGACACACACGGGGAGGACACGGGGACGCGGGGACACAGGGCTGCTTCGTTGCCCTATTCAAGTCGTCCTTAGCCTTTACCCCCCCCCCCCGCCCACACAAATCAGCGTGCCCCCCCTCCATCTACCCAACAACTGACCCCACAAACCCATCATTAATGATGACCCCCGACCCCACTTCCCACGAACCCCGGCGTCACCTATCCCCCCCACCCCCCCACCACCCCCCCCCCCCACCACCCCCCCCCCCCCCGCGCACCGCCTTGACGGCCACGAGCAGCTCGTGGGCTCGGGCGTCGTGCTCGGCCGCCAGCAGGCGCAGGGCGTGGTGCTGGCGCTCGGCGCCGCCCGCACGCTCACGCTCCGCCGCCTCCTGCTCGGAGCGCTGCTGCGCCAGCGCATCCAGGCGCCTCTGCTGGTTCTCCATTATCTGGGGGGCGGTGGGGGGCACGGGGGGGGGGGCGTTGAGATGTGGAGGAGGGGGGGGGGCGGGGGCATCGTCACCTCGGCTACGGCTGCCCCGCGCCACAGTGCAGTGGGACGGGCACCGGAGGGAGACCACGGGGGACAGGGAGACACAGGGGACATGGAGACACAGGGGACATGGAGACACGGGGGACAGGGAGACACAGGGGACAGGGAGACACGGGGGACATGGGGGACATGGAGACACGGGGGACAGGGAGACACGGGGGACATGGAGACACAGGGGACATGGAGACACAGGGGACAGGGAGACACAGGGGACAGGGAGACACAGGGGACATGGAGACACGGGGGACATGGAGACACAGGGGACAGGGAGACACAGGGGACAGGGAGACACAGGGGACATGGAGACACAGGGGACATGGAGACACAGGGGACAGGGAGACACAGGGGACATGGAGACACAGGGGACATGGAGACACAGGGGACATGGAGACACAGGGGACATGGAGACACAGGGGACATGGAGACACGGGGGACATGGAGACACAGGGGACACGGGGGACATGGAGACACAGGGGACATGGAGACACAGGGGACACGGGGGACATGGGGACAGGGAGACACAGGGGACACGGGGGACATAGAGACACGGGGGACATGGAGACACGGGGGACACGGGGGACAGGGGACATGGGGACATGGAGACACAGGGGACACGGGGGACATGGGGACAGGGAGACACAGGGGACATGGAGACACGGGGGACATGGGGGACATGGAGACACGTGGGACACGGGGGACACGGGGGACATGGAGACACGGGGGACATGGGGGACAGGGAGACACAGGGGACATGGAGACACGGGGGACAGGGAGACACAGGGGGACACGGAGATACGGGGGACATGGGGGACACAGGGGACATAGAGACACAGGGGACATGGAGACACGGGGGACAGGGAGACACAGGGGACATGGAGACACGGGGGACATGGAGACACAGGGGACATGCAGACACGGGGGACATGGAGACACAGGGGACACGGGGGACAGGGAGACACAGGGGACATAGAGACACGGGGGACACGGAGACACGGGGGACAGGGAGACACAGGGGGACACGGAGATACGGGGGACATGGGGGACACAGGGGACATAGAGACACAGGGGACATGGAGACACGGGGGACATGCAGACACAGGGGACACGGGGGACACAGGGGACATAGAGACACAGGGGACAGGGAGACACGGGGGACATAGAGACATGGAGACACAGGGGACACGGGGGACATGGGGGACAGAGAGACACAGGGGACAGGGAGACACAGGGGACACGGGGGACATGGGGGACAAAGAGACACAGGGGACAGGGAGACACGGGTGACATGGAGACACAGGGGACACGGGGGACAGGGAGACACAGGGGACATGGAGACACGGGGGACAGGGAGACATGGAGACACAGGGGACAGGGAGACACAGGGGACACGGGGGACATGGAGACACAGGAGACATGGAGACACGGGGGACAGGGAGACACAGGGGACATGGAGACACAGGGGACAGGGAGACACAGGGGACATGGACACACGGGGGACAGGGAGACACAGGGGACACAGGGGACAGAGAGACACAGGGGACATGGAGACTGGAGGATTGACACGATGGGGATATAACACAAGAGGGTAACGAGCCCCCCCTCCCCCCCCCCTATTGTGGTAAGAAAACGAAACCCCCTGTCTACAGTGCACTTTGGTGCAGTCCACACCGACTGTTGCCTGCAACCAAGTGGGGCCACTCTTCACGGTGGGGCGGGAATGTTTAAGGGCTTCACCTCGCGTCTTACAAACAGGAGCAAATACCCCCCCCCACGCCCTCGTGCTTTGGTACGGTCCACCCCACGTCGCCCGCTGCAGTGTGGGTCACGCCACTGCGCGCGGAAGAGGCGGGGGGGGGGAGGTGGTGGGGGGTTCACCTTGCGCGCACGTTCACAGTCGTCGCGGAGCCGCTGGTTGTCGCGCTGCAGGGACTCGAGGCCCAGCACCGGCAGCCGGGCGCCGTCCGACAGACAGCGCTCCACCTTCTGCTGCAGCCTGGCGCGGGGGTAGGCGGGGGAGGGGGAGGGGGGGGGGGCGGTAGGTGAGGGGTCCTCAGGACAGGCGAGTAGAGCACCGGGCAGCTCGGGGGGTACGCGTGCTAGGCCATGGGGACGGTGGGCGGTGCGGAGGGGCGAGCGATATACACGACGGGTGAGGTGAGCGGTACACGGAGCTGGTGAGGGCTACACAGGGTAGGGGAGTGGTGCACGTGTCGCGCGTTACAGAGCGCTGGGTGTGTGCGTATGTCCAGTCGCCTGTCTGCCCTTCTCTTCGTCTCTCTGTTCGTTACGTCCGCCCGCCCGCCCGCCCGTCCCTTACGTCTGCACGGTGGCCACGAGCTCCTGCTCCCGCTGTCGGAGCGAGCGCAGCTCCCCCAAGCTCTCCGCCAACCGTCGCTCGCCCTCCGTCTCCCGCTCCCGCAGCGCGCGCTCCATCTCCGCGGCGCGTCCCTCCAGCTCCGCCTGCTTCTGCGCCACCGCCGTCTGCACCTCCCTGCCCGGCGGAGGTGGCGGACGGAGGGACGGACAGACAGGCAAGGAGGTCGGACAGACGGAACGACGGGAGAAGCGGAGGAACGGACCAACGGACGGACGTGCCGACGGACACGTCGATCGCCCGAGGGTCGGGCGGGCGACAGCTGGAGAAATGGAGAGAGGGTCGGGACGGACAAAGAGGGCTCTCACCCCTAGAGGAAACTAATCCACACTCAGCTAACACGTTTACTCGGCGACAAAACAAACCAGCAGCTAAAGTGCAAATCCTCGGTGGCCAAGACGATGACGTCGTGGGGCGACACGTCGCGCGTCATTGACGATGACGTCATCGGGCGACACGTCGCGCGTCATTGACGATGACGTCGTAGGGCGACACGTCGCGCGTCATTGACGATGACGTCGTAGGGCGACACGTCGCGCGTCATTGACTATGACGTCATCGGGCGACACGTCGCGCGTCATTGACGATGACGTCGTGGGGCGACACGTCGTGCGTCATTGACGATGACGTAATCGGGCGACACGTCGCGCGTCATTGACGATGACATCGTGGGGCGACACGTCGCGCGTCATTGACGATGACGTCATCGGGCGACACGTCGCGCGTCATTGACGATGACGTAATCGGGCGGCGCGTCATTGACGATGACGTCGTGGGGCGACACGTCGCGCGTCATTGACGATGACGTCATCGGCGACACGTCGCGCGTCATTGACGATGACGTCATCGGGCGACACGTCGCGCGTCACCAGGGCCCGCGGTCGCATCGCCCGCCGGGCGGCCCTACCTGTCCAGCAGGGAGTCCCTCTCGCGGAGGCGGCTGTCTCTCTCGCGGAGCTGGGCCTGGAGCTCCGCCGTGGAGCCCTCCAGCTGGGCGGCTCGCGCCTCCGCTTGCTCCAGCTGGAGGCGGGCGGGAAGAACACGGAGCGGGGGAGTCGGGGTGTGTGGGGTTGACGTTCCGAGTGAAGAACACGGAGCGGGAGAGTCGGGGTGTGTGGGGTTGACGTTCCGAGTGAAGAACACGGAGCGGGGGAGTCGGGGTGTGTGGGGTTGACGTTCCGAGTGAAGAACACGGAGCGGGGGAGTCGGGGTGTGTGGGGTTGGCGTTCCGAGTGAAGAACACGGAGCGGGGGAGTCGGGGTGTGTGGGGTTGACGTTCCGAGTGAAGAACACGGAGCGGGAGAGTCGGGGTGTGTGGGGTTGGCGTTCCCAGTGAAGAACACGGAGCGGGGGAGTCGGGGTGTGTGGGGTTGGCGTTCCGAGTGAAGAACACGGAGCGGGGGAGTCGGGGTGTGTGGGGTTGACGTTCCGAGTGAAGAACACGGAGCGGGGGAGTCGGGGTGTGTGGGGTTGACGTTCCGAGTGAAGAACACGGAGCGGGAGAGTCGGGGTGTGTGGGGTTGACGTTCCGAGTGAAGAACACGGAGCGGGGGAGTCGGGGTGTGTGGGGTTGGCGTTCCGAGTGAAGAACACGGAGCGGGGGAGTCGGGGTGTGTGGGGTTGACGTTCCGAGTGAAGAACACGGAGCGGGAGAGTCGGGGTGTGTGGGGTTGACGTTCCGAGTGAAGAACACGGAGCGGGGGAGTCGGGGTGTGTGGGGTTGGCGTTCCGAGTGAAGAACACGGAGCGGGGGAGTCGGGGTGTGTGGGGTTGACGTTCCGAGTGAAGAACACGGAGCGGGAGAGTCGGGGTGTGTGGGGTTGACGTTCCGAGTGAAGAACACGGAGCGGGGGAGTCGGGGTGTGTGGGGTTGGCGTTCCGAGTGAAGAACACGGAGCGGGGGAGTCGGGGTGTGTGGGGTTGACGTTCCGAGTGAAGAACACGGAGCGGGAGAGTCGGGGTGTGTGGGGTTGACGTTCCGAGTGAAGAACACGGAGCGGGAGAGTCGGGGTGTGTGGGGTTGACGTTCCGAGTGAAGAACACGGAGCGGGAGAGTCGGGGTGTGTGGGGTTGACGTTCCGAGTGAAGAACACGGAGCGGGGGAGTCGGGGTGTGTGGGGTTGACGTTCCGAGTGAAGAACACGGAGCGGGGGAGTCGGGGTGTGTGGGGTTGGCGTTCCGAGTGAAGAACACGGAGCGGGGGAGTCGGGGTGTGTGGGGTTGACGTTCCGAGTGAAGAACACGGAGCGGGAGAGTCGGGGTGTGTGGGGTTGGCGTTCCCAGTGAAGAACACGGAGCGGGGGAGTCGGGGTGTGTGGGGTTGGCGTTCCGAGTGAAGAACACGGAGCGGGGGAGTCGGGGTGTGTGGGGTTGACGTTCCGAGTGAAGAACACGGAGCGGGGGAGTCGGGGTGTGTGGGGTTGACGTTCCGAGTGAAGAACACGGAGCGGGGGAGTCGGGGGGTGTGGGGTTGACGTTCCGAGTGAAGAACACGGAGCGGGGGAGTCGGGGTGTGTGGGGTTGGCGTTCCGAGTGAAGAACACGGAGCGGGGGAGTCGGGGTGTGTGGGGTTGACGTTCCGAGTGAAGAACACGGAGCGGGAGAGTCGGGGTGTGTGGGGTTGACGTTCCGAGTGAAGAACACGGAGCGGGGGAGTCGGGGTGTGTGGGGTTGGCGTTCCGAGTGAAGAACACGGAGCGGGGGAGTCGGGGTGTGTGGGGTTGACGTTCCGAGTGAAGAACACGGAGCGGGAGAGTCGGGGTGTGTGGGGTTGACGTTCCGAGTGAAGAACACGGAGCGGGGGAGTCGGGGTGTGTGGGGTTGGCGTTCCGAGTGAAGAACACGGAGCGGGGGAGTCGGGGTGTGTGGGGTTGACGTTCCGAGTGAAGAACACGGAGCGGGAGAGTCGGGGTGTGTGGGGTTGACGTTCCGAGTGAAGAACACGGAGCGGGAGAGTCGGGGTGTGTGGGGTTGACGTTCCGAGTGAAGAACACGGAGCGGGGGAGTCGGGGTGTGTGGGGTTGGCGTTCCGAGTGAAGAACACGGAGCGGGGGAGTCGGGGTGTGTGGGGTTGACGTTCCGAGTGAAGAACACGGAGCGGGGGAGTCGGGGTGTGTGGGGTTGGCGTTCCGAGTGAAGAACACGGAGCGGGGGAGTCGGGGTGTGTGGGGTTGACGTTCCGAGTGAAGAACACGGAGCGGGGGAGTCGGGGTGTGTGGGGTTGACGTTCCGAGTGAAGAACACGGGGCGGGGGAGTCGGGGTGTGTGGGGTTGACGTTCCGAGTGAAGAACACGGAGCGGGGGAGTCGGGGTGTGTGGGGTTGACGTTCCGAGTGAAGAACACGGAGCGGGAGAGTCGGGGTGTGTGGGGTTGGCGTTCCGAGTGAAGAACACGGAGCGGGGGAGTCGGGGTGTGTGGGGTTGACGTTCCGAGTGAAGAACACGGAGCGGGAGAGTCGGGGTGTGTGGGGTTGACGTTCCGAGTGAAGAACACGGAGCGGGGGAGTCGGGGTGTGTGGGGTTGACGTTCCGAGTGAAGAACACGGAGCGGGAGAGTCGGGGTGTGTGGGGTTGGCGTTCCGAGTGAAGAACACGGAGCGGGGGAGTCGGGGTGTGTGGGGTTGACGTTCCGAGTGAAGAACACGGAGCGGGAGAGTCGGGGTGTGTGGGGTTGGCGTTCCGAGTGAAGAACACGGAGCGGGGGAGTCGGGGTGTGTGGGGTTGACGTTCCGAGTGAAGAACACGGAGCGGGGGAGTCGGGGTGTGTGGGGTTGACGTTCCGAGTGAAGAACACGGTGCGGGGGAGTCGGGGTGTGTGGGGTTGGCGTTCCGTGTGAAGAACACGGAGCGGGGGAGTCGGGGTGTGTGGGGTTGACGTTCCGAGTGAAGAACACGGAGCGGGAGAGTCGAGGTGTGTGGGGTTGGCGTTCCGAGTGAAGAACACGGAGCGGGGGAGTCGGGGTGTGTGGGGTTGACGTTCCGAGTGAAGAACACGGAGCGGGGGAGTCGGGGTGTGTGGGGTTGACGTTCCGAGTGAAGAACACGGAGCGGGGGAGTCGGGGTGTGTGGGGTTGACGTTCCGAGTGAAGAACACGGAGCGGGGGAGTCGGGGTGTGTGGGGTTGGCGTTCCGAGTGAAGAACACGGAGCGGGGGAGTCGGGGTGTGTGGGGTTGGCGTTCCGAGTGAAGAACACGGAGCGGGGGAGTCGAGGTGTGTGGGGTTGACGTTCCGAGTGAAGAACACGGAGCGGGAGAGTCGGGGTGTGTGGGGTTGGCGTTCCGAGTGAAGAACACGGAGCGGGGGAGTCGGGGTGTGTGGGGTTGGCGTTCCGAGTGAAGAACACGGAGCGGGGGAGTCGGGGTGTGTGGGGTTGACGTTCCGAGTGAAGAACACGGAGCGGGAGAGTCGGGGTGTGTGGGGTTGGCGTTCCGAGTGAAGAACACGGAGCGGGGGTGTGGGGGTGTGTGGGGTTGACGTTCCGAGTGAAGAACACGGAGCGGGGGAGTCGGGGTGTGTGGGGTTGACGTTCCGAGTGAAGAACACGGAGCGGGGGAGTCGGGGTGTGTGGGGTTGACGTTCCGAGTGAAGAACACGGAGCGGGGGAGTCGGGGTGTGTGGGGTTGGCGTTCCGAGTGAAGAACACGGAGCGGGGGAGTCGGGGTGTGTGGGGTTGGCGTTCCGAGTGAAGAACACGGAGCGGGGGAGTCGAGGTGTGTGGGGTTGACGTTCCGAGTGAAGAACACGGAGCGGGAGAGTCGGGGTGTGTGGGGTTGGCGTTCCGAGTGAAGAACACGGAGCGGGGGAGTCGGGGTGTGTGGGGTTGGCGTTCCGAGTGAAGAACACGGAGCGGGGGAGTCGGGGTGTGTGGGGTTGGCGTTCCGAGTGACGCCGGCAATGGCCCACTCTTGCGAATGACGTCGCGGGGTCTTTAACTTTCCGCGGCGAGCGCAGCAGATGGATGATCGTGTAGTAGTATTTATAGTTATATATTTTTATCTATTTTTTACGGTTTTACACAGCACAGCTGTTTTTACCGGGGCCGCCTCGTTATGTTGACATGTTGACCGCGGTGCCGGCTGCAGTGATGCTCGTGACGACAGACCCTGCTCGTGACGACAGACCCGGGTGCCGTGCGTTGACTGACCGCGTCGACCGGCAGACGCACCAACCCCGTGCTCCTCGCCCACTCTGCCAACTCGCTGTGTTTTATCTGCCCGGCGCTCCACTCGTCCCCCCACAAACACACACACACATGCCCCCCCCCCCCACTCTCCCCGCCCCCCTCACGCCCCCCGCCGCCCCCCACTGCTCCGCCGCCCCCCACTGCCCCACACACCCCCCGCCCAAGCGTGACCTTGAGGCGGAGCGCCTGGTGGTGCTCCAGGGTGGGCAGGTCGGCCAAGTAGGTCTCCAGGCTCTCGACGCGCCGTGCGCGCTCCGCCCTCGCCTCCGCCTCGCGCTCCACGCGCTTGCGCATGGAGCTCAGCTGCTTGTCCCGGTGTCTCAGCTACCCCCGGGGAGAGACGCAGGCAGAGAGACGCCGTTGCCACGCGGTTCGCCTGCGGCGATCGCGCTGAGCAGTTGACGGAGCGCGCGGTGCGTAGCGCCGTGCTCCTCGCAGGGCGCTGGCGTCGCGGGGCGAGCGAGCCCCCCACACCCCCCTGCCCCCCCGGGGGGCCCTCACCTTCTCCTCCACCCTGGCGAGGCTCTCGGCGTGCTGGCGCGCCCCCCGGCTCGCCGCCTCGCCCGCCGCGCGCGCCCGCGCCTCGGCGTCCGCGAGCCGGCGCTCCAGCTCCCCGCGCTCCGCCGCCACCAGCGCCCCGGCTCGCTCCGACAGCTGCGCCCGCAGGGAAGCGCTCTCCAGCTGGGACTCCTGCTGGGGGGCGGCGAGGTCGGAGGGTCACGGGGGTCACGCCGCGGGGGGGTCCCGGCGGGCCGGCCCTACGGGTTTGCCCGTCCGCGCCTCGAGTGGAGGGGTCGCGCCAGTGGAGGCCTCGCGGGATCAACGGCACTGCCGCTATTCGCCCGGGCTGTGCTCGCCTGTCGTCGACGATGGGAAGTGACAACACCTTCGAGCCGCCGCCGCCCGTGGTGATCTCGGCGTTGTTACCCCGCCGAGAGACGAGCGGCGACAGCGGTTTTCAGAAGTCGGGGGGGGGGGGGGGGGGGGGTGGGCCCTATCGCAAGCTCAAGTTCAACCACTTCGAGAGAGACCTCGGCTTTCGTGTTACGGACACAGCGTTGCCAGACGGCAATGCGCACTCGAGACGCTGAGTTCGGAACCACCTCGTGGAGCGGCGCAGCCCACCGTACGAGCGTCGCGAGCGCACGAACAACGACGCTAGAGCGACGGACCCGTGTCGATCTGCGGTCCGAGCTCTCCATCGTAACCACGAGTTCCGAAATCGCGACGCGCGTTACAAGTCGTGTTTAACATTGCTTTTGATCTTCTTGTTGTTTATCCAGCAGGGAATTGATAAAAGCCCCCGTCCGAGAGGCTGCTGCCGTCAAACTTCCCAAGCGTGACGTCACGGCAGGAGTGACGTCACGCCTGCCGTGACGTCACGCCAACCGCCAGGGTAAATACCCCAGGCGACGTGTTTTACAAAGTTAAAACCACCACAATGCGTGATCAAGGGCTCACGAAACCGGTCGGCTCCCATTTTGATGCTTTTATCATCGACCAAGCTGAAGTGGCAGGCAAACAGCTGTGGCTGTTTTGTGATGAGATACATCGCAGAATCTGACAGCACAGAGCCACCCGGCTGCGGACCACCGCTCGATAAACTGGGGTATTTACCGTGCGCCGGCTGCCCTCTTTAGAATCAGAATCTTCACTCATCCTGGAGGAATCCTATGAGCCGTGAAGCTCTTTTTCCAGTCGGGGCGAGTCAGAACGTTACAACGACACGACAGGAGAGTGGCACCGGATTCCTGGGCCCCCACCGCCTTACCTGAAGGTGCAGCGAGAGAGCTGCTTGGTCCAGCCAGCCGGGCCGTGCGGACGGCGGGGGTAGCACCAGCGCCTGGAGTCGCGCCTCCGTCTCCTGCACTCGCCGCTGCAGCAGCAGCAGCTGCTGCTTCTGCCTGGGCGCGCGGAGCGGGCGCGGGTGGGATGCGCGTGGCCCAATGAACACGCGGACACGCAAGACGGGCAAACGCGTGGATGCACGTGAAGGAACAGACGCACAGACACACGGAAACGCGGGCAGGCGGACATGAGGTTTCCTAGCTTGGCATCTTCCGTTGACCCACCGCTAGCAATTCCCGCAAGGCCACGGGGCTTTGGAGTGGGCATCAAATGCGGGCACTGAGTGTGGATAAAACGACGCGGCAAGTTGGGAGCGCAGGTGGCGCGTCTGCCAGTCATCTGGGTCAGCAAGCCCATGGCATCTGGGTCTGTCCCGTGATCTAATGCTGCCATCGGAGAGCATTCCACGCTGCGCGAGGTGGCCTCTGAAGTGCACCTAGCCTGGCGCCGCGGTGACGTCACCGCCGCTTAGTGGCATACAACGGCTGATGTTGTTATTGTATGTTTGAGTGTATGAGTGCACGTACGAGCGTGTGCTTGTGTGCAGCTGTGCTACGAACCCGGCGACCCGGGTTCGATTCCCGCTCACGGCAAACACCGGTGACAATTATCTGAACCGGTGCTGGGACTCTCCTAGGTCGACTCAGCCTCAAATGAGTACCTGCTGCGGTGTGTAAACATCGCCACTGGGGAGACAAAGGCGGTCGGGCGTGGTGCTGGCCACCCACCCCTTCCGTGTGCTGTTCCCACCTTCATAGGTGCTCACTAACATCACTTGCCCCAACAGTCTGCTAAGGCTATACGGGGGACCTTTGTCTTTTTGTCTTCATTTACAAGCACACGTACGTACGTACGCATATGCGCGTGTACGTATGTGCGTGCGTGTCTATGTATGTGCGCGCGTGTGCATCTGCACACGCGCGCACATTCCGCTCACAGACGCTCGGATGGGTGGCGTGGCTCACTTCTCGATGGCCAGGTCCTTCTCCTGCAGGAGGGTCTCCTTCATCTTGAGCAGAGCGTCCCACTTGGCCAGCGCCGACAGGGGGAGACCCGGGTACGCGTCCTGCTGCCGGGCCGAACCATTCATCAGCTGCGCGCGGGGAGGAGGGGGGGGGCGGAATTGACAAAGTTATATTAAAACAACGCGCGTCGCTTTTCCAGCAGCCTACTGCCAAGTATTCGCGGTAGGTGGTAGGGGTCGGGGACGGGGGAGGGGCGATGATTTTCTGCGCGCGTTCCCGGAGCGATTTTTAAAATCTCTTTCCGTGACGCTGGCGAGCGAGCGAGCGGGCGGGCGGGCGATGGCCGCCGGACCCCTTTGACGTCCGGCGCCGCGTCGGGGGGCGGCACCGCCGGATTCAGATTGATAATTATTCATCCTGGGGGGGCCGGGGGGTTCGCGGCTCGGCGGTAGAGCGAGCGGTTCGTGATCGGAAGGTCGCGAGGTCAAATCCTAGTTGGGGGTGGGAGGTGGGGCTGGGTGGTGGTGGTGGGGGTGACTCAGCCCATCGACATCACCCCCCCCTCCCCTCGATAAAATGAGCGGCGAGTCGCTCGACATCGGTTGTCTGGTGGACAGACGTGCACCTGGCAAAGGAATGTGGAATGCCCGAGACCATGTCCACCGCGGACAGGGAGCCATTGAAATCATGACTCTGGGAGGTGGCGACAGCTGAGTTGGGGTGGGGGGGGGAGGCCTTCATCCAGCAGTGGATGGATCACGGCTGAACGGAGACGCAACCAAACTAAGGAGAGGCACGTCGGCCGTCACGTGACGCCCGGCCGTCACGTGACGGGGCTGGCGTCACCGTTACCATCGCCACAGCGGCTCCTCACTCACACGGGGAGCCACAGACTCACACACAGAGACCCACAGACTCACACGGGGACCCACAGACTCACACGGGGACCAACAGACTCACACGGAGACCCACAGACTCACACAGGGACCCACAGACTCACACAGGCACCCACAGACTCACACAGAGACCCATAGACTCTCACAGGGACCCACAGACACTCACGGAGACCCAAAGACTCACACAGAGACCCACAGACTCACGTAGAGACCCACAGACTCACGCAGAGACCCACAGACTCACACAGCAGAGACCCACAGACTCACACAGCAGAGACCCATAGACTCACACAGAGACCCACAGACTCACAAAGAGACCCACAGACTCACACAGAGACCCACAGACTCACACAGAGACCCACAGACTCACACGGGAACTCACAGACTCACACGGGAACCCACAGACTCACACAGGGACCCACAGACTCACACAGGGACCCACAGACTCACACAGAGGCCCACAGACTCACACGGGGCCCCGCAGACTCACACGGGGACCCACAGACTCACACGGAGACCCACAGACTCACACGGAGACCCACAGACTCACACGGAGACCCACAGACTCACACAGGGACCCACAGACTCATACGGGGACCCACAGACTCACACAGGGACCCACAGACTCACAAAGAGACCCACAGACTCACACATAGACCCACAGACTCACACGGGGACCCACAGACTCACACGGAGACCCACAGACTCACACGGAGACCCACAGACTCACACAGGGACCCACAGACTCACACAAAGACCCACAGACTCACACAGGGAGCTATAGACCTACACTGTGCGTACGAGCATGCATGCGCGTGTGCGTTGGCGCGTGTGCGGGCCTCTCTCCAGCAACACCGCCGGTGACGACGCTGCTGGAGCGGTGATAAATCGGCACGTCCGTTCACCGTCACAACTTCATCAGTTGGCCGAGCGGGCTGGAGGAGGATGCACGCCGCACGATTTGGCTCGCGCGATCCGAACCGAAGATCAACTGCGGAGACGTGATATCGGCCGCGACGGCACCGCCGCCGCCCGAGTCGCTTCGCGTTTTATTGTCGGTGGGGCTCGGCGGGCAACAGGCGGCGACCCCGGTTCGACTCCCCGCCACGGCCCAACGCCGGTGACGAACATCCGCACCCCTCCTTCCACTAGGTAGACTTAGCCCGAAATGAGCACCCGGCGCAGCGGGTGCCGGGGGGGGGGGGGGGGGCGGCCGCGCGGCGTGACTGCGGCAACGCCGCCCGCTGGCGCGCCCTTGCCGGCCTCAACGGGGTGGCTCGCTAGCGGCAACTCTCCCCCCAGCAGCCCGCCGACTTCGCTGCTTCGCTCCGGGTGAACGCCGCGCGGGTTCTCTGCGATCTCTCGAGGACCACGACAACCAGAAGCGAAACACCGCCGCCGGGACAGCGAGTCGGACGGGCGCAAGCGCGGTGGCCCGGGTTAATGTGAGAACGGCTCATGAAAACAAGTGGTGGTTGATGGGGGGGGGGGGGGCACGGTTGGCGAGTATAAATAACGCGACGGACTCAGCAGATATCCTGACAAGGGCACGTGCGGAATTCCGTGGGGATTATCTGGAACCTTCGCCAGCGCTAAGTGTCGTAATAAACATCGCCCCGGTCACATGCTTGGCCCCCGCGAGCACGCACGCGTACACACTCGCGCACACACGTACACACTCACGCACACACGTACACACTCACGCACACACGTACACACTCACACACATACACACTCACACAGTACACACTCACGCACACGTACACACTCGCGCACACACGTACACACTCGCGCACACACGTACACACTCGCGCACACACGTACACACTCGCGCACACTCGCGCACACACGTACACACTCGCGCACACACGTACACACTCGCGCACACACGTACACACTCGCGCACACACGTACACACTCGCGCACACACGTACACACTCGCGCACACACGTACACACTCACACACATACACACTCACACACACACGTACACACTCGCACACACACGTACACACTCGCACACACACGTACACACTCGCACACACACGTACACACACGTACACACTCGTACACACACGTACACACACGCACACACACGTACACACTCGCACACACGTACTCACTCGCGCACACGTACACACTCGCGCACACACGTACACACTCGCAGACACACGTACACACTCGCACACACGTACACACACACGTACACACTCGCACACACACGTACACACTCGCACACACACGTACACACTCACACACGTACACACTCGCACACACTCGCACACACACGTACACACGTACACACTCACCCACACAGGTACACTCACACACGTACACACTCACACACACTCATACACACACACGTACACTCACACACACGTACACTCACACACACACGTACACTCACACACACACGTACACTCACACACGCGCATAAACACACACGTACACACTCACACACACTCATACACACACACACGTACACTCTCACACACACACACACGTACACTCACACACACACGTACACTAACACACACATGTACACTCACACGCGCTCATACACACTCACACATGCTCATCCACAACAACAACCACCATTTGCCACTAAATGGCGGTGACGTCACCACGACGCTTGTGCCAGGCCATGTGCACCTTGAGGCCACGTGAAGTGTCGAACACCCGCTGGCAGGAGGTCACGGGGCAGACCCAGCAGATGCCATGGGTCGACTGACTGAGATGACTGAGATGACTGGCTGTTGCACCACCTGTGCCCCCCTACTGTGCCAACTTGCTGTGCTTTAGCCACCCGGCGCTCCGCTCGTTGTTGTGAGCGTCGCTTCTCCCCCCTCCGTTGTTGTTGGAGGGCGACTCTGCCTCCAACTACCCAGTAGCGTCCTTCATGAGCCTCCTCCACAGAGACCGATCTTGACACTGCTGGTACCAGTCATCGGCAAGTCCACTCAACTCCACATCCTCCTGTACCACATCACTCCATCTCTTCTCTAGCCCGTGCCACGCCTGTTTAGCCCCCTCAATCCGGCTGAACAAAAGCTGTTTAGGGCATGTGGTGGCTGGGCATGCGGGCTACATGACCCAGCCAACGCAGCCTTGCCTGCCGGAGGAGCTCACCGATGAGACTTTGTCCAGAGCTTTCAAGGATTTGTGAGCTCCTCACACAATCCAGCCTGGTTAGACCCCATCCAGGCAAGCTCCAGGTTCAGCATCAGCGCCTCCAATTCCTCCTCTGAGTGAGCAGCAATTACCATATCATCGGCATACATAACGTAGTTGAGCAATAGGGAACCATCCCATGACTGCACCCGGGAATCGATCAGCCTCCCATTATATCTGTACCAGATGGAAATTCCTCCGGTACAGCTATTGAAGGCTTCACAAACTACGTAGTCGAAATAGATGTTAAATAATGTGGGAGCCAGAGGACATCCCTGTCGCACCCCAAAGTGAACAGGGAATGGCTCCGACTCCCAGCCACATAGTTTTACCCGGGTCCGCTCACCATCATGAAGGTCCTTAATGATCGTGACCAGGTCAATAAAGCAGAGATGTAGGTCTTGTTGGAATCCCCTATACCTCTGCTGTAGCAGACGGACAGAAAAAATGACATCTGTGCAGGACCGCCCTTTCCTGAAATCACATTGGGACTCCGCAAGCCTCTCCTCAGCGTGCCTAGCAAGGCGATGTTGAATAATCCTTGCCAGGACCTTTCCCGGCACACTGAGGAGTGAGATGCCCCTGTAGCTGTTACAGTCTGTGCGGTCCCCCTTCTTAAAGAGGGGGACCACCAGGGCATCCTTTCAATCCTGCAAAACCCATCCAGTGGTCCAGACTGTTGTTATGATGCCATGTAGGGCAGTCTGTGCACAAACGCCACCCTCCCTCAGCATTTCACTTGGGAGATCATCTCTGCCCGGTGCCTTTTCTGGTCTCAGACTCTGGATCGCCTTCAGTACTTACACAGGGGGTGACTTCTTCCAATATTTGAGGCACCGCAGCCTCAGCAGGGTCATCCCCACTTTGTCCCACGTGATCCAGGCTGAGGGATGTCCCCTCCCCTAGGACCTCACAGAAATGCTCAACAAATTTGCAAACCTGTTCCTGGGGGTCCGGAGATCGGATCATCGTTTTTTCCCCTAATGATGGTAATAGGTGTGGCGCTGCAGGTAACTTTTTTGCTGGAATTAAATAGCGATTTGTGACTGTGGGCCATTGAGG